AGTACAGCAATACTTCTTTAGCTTTACTATTTCAAACAAGTCAGCTAGGATCTCCTTAAATGCATGTCCTAATTCAGTAGGTTGGGGATGCCTGAGAGTCTGAAGTTCAAAGAAGTTCCCAGGTGATGCTGATATTGGTGGTTTTCTGGACCACATTTGAGTAGCAAGAAGGTAGAAAACTGTGGGACCAGATAATTACTAACCTAAGCAGACCATAAGATGGAGTTTGGTAGGTAAAAATATAAATAAAATCACATAATTTTTTTATTAATATGTAAAAATGGATAAAAAATTCATTATAATATTTAAAGTATGTACTTAGCCAGTTGAGCTCATCTATGAAAAAAAAGCATCTAATTTATGATGTAAGCCAAGACTTGACCATTAAAATAATTTCTAATATCCAACAGCTGTAGTGTTTATGTATTAAGAAGAGCTTTGCACCAGAACTGTTCTGTCATGTTTCTGTCCAGAGGCTATCATGAAAGAGATTATTATCAATTACTGCTTTACAAGTATAAAATACATTAAGCCACCCTATTTTTCTCAACCAGAGATCCGAAGCTGTCAAAGAATGTCAATTTTAAATATGACATAGAGAAGAAAATTATGTTACTGTGAACTCTAATTTCTTGACATCTTAATACCATAATTGCTGTGATTAGTGCTGCTTCATGATTTCACCTGTCAAGAAAGAATCAATAACCTTAAGCTATTTATCAAATTTTAGCTCTAACTTCAAAGCTCAAAATGTGTGATTTCTTTTTTTACAAAAGGGACATTCATATATCAGATATTTCTCTTTTAAACCAGTGTTTAATTTAAGGAATTAAAAGAAACATCTTCCTTAGGCTAGTTGGAGTTTGGTGGAGGTTAATTGTAATGGGCTTCCTTTGGTTTTATTTATGTGAAAAGTAGTCATCTTATCATTTAAAAAATACTAAGATAAATATTATCAAATAAAGGTAATGCACTTAGCTTAATACAAGGGTTAACATTTTGCACACTGATTTTTTTCTAAGAACTTAGGTAGGTATCAACTCTCTCAAGTCATAACACCACAGTGCAGACCTCCAGGAAGTCAACACTGATGTTTTGAAAGAGGTGTTGTGCCTCCCAGAGGCCTCCTCACAAGAGGACTGTGTATGTAAAGGAGCACAGATGACCACAAAACAGTGACTATGCTATGCTTCATTCTACTTCTCTACAGTTCTTTCTTCTGACAGGAGATGCTAAGTGCTTTTATGTTGGGAAACGTATTCTCTGTATTATCCCTCCTTTATAAAGAGAGCAACTGAGGTGGAGTGAGATTAATTACTTGGCCACATTAAATAGCTCAAGGATTCAGCTGATTTATCCTCTGTTGCTGGTTCTTAAATGTTAGTGCAGAACTTCTGTTGTGGGAATATGTTAGGTTAGTGGTAGAGGAGATAAGGGTAGGGAGTGAGGAGAGAGAAGATTAACTCATATCCATAAAATAATTTAATCTGTTCACACATTTAATCTGCTGAGTTGACACAGGTCCTAGGGTCAGGGCAAACATCTCTGCTGGTGTGTGCTTGGGCCTATGCTGGCTGGAGAAGGAAGTAACTTGTGTTCCAGGTATATGCTTCCTCACCTAGTATTCTGAAAATAAGAGTTATTGGGTCTGGGAGGCAAGTATGGAGCCTAGGGAAGGAGGACACATATCACAGAATGATTCTCAGGGTTTCTCTAATGGAACCTCAGTATTTAGCATTGATTTGCTAGAGGAGAGAGTCCTGAACTAAAGTACCTTAGCACTCAACAAGTCTGCATCACTCTGAGGCCACAGTATGCTACATATTGTTCTGATGATCTATAAGAAAAACCCTGTGGTTGAACCATTTCCCCCAAAAGAAAAATTTTATATTATATATTTTCATCTAATGACTCAGTAGGAAGTTCTACAGTTTGACAATTAAGACCTATATGTTGTTTCTTTCACTGTCCAAAGCAATGGTGTGGTATTTTGCAGAAGCAGGAATTTTTTTAAGGATTCAAATAATAAACACTACATCCATGTAAAGAAAGTCTCAATTCTGATTCCATTTTCTCTTTATTCTCTCATTAATCAATTTCTCCCCTCATATAAATATTAAAAAATCTTCTATTTTTTGTCAATTTTAATGTGCATTGCACTTTCATTACATGCAATAAGCTTAAAATATTTGTATTTGTCCAAGAGGATTACTTTGCAACTTTCTTTATAAGAACAGAACTTTATAATGGATAAAGTATATAATAAAATATTCAGGAGCAAAAATGTCTACAATATTTAAAAGTAAAAACAGTAATTTGAAGTTGGTCTTGGAATAAAATAAGACACTATTGCAATAATTTTCTTTTTTTATAATTCTACTAGAGGTCCATTGCATGAAGAGATTTGTGCAATAGGCCTTTCCTTCCCTGGCTGGCGGCACCGGTTTTCCTCCAGCACCTGGGACCCAGGCCTTCTCTGCTCCAGCCAGAGCCTTCAGTCTTCACTCCGCTGCTTCACGCCTACGTATGCAAATTAACCATCATCTTTGTTGGGTTAATTTGCATACTCTCCTGATTGGCTGGTGAGCATAGTGGAGGACAGTCAATTTACATGTTTGTCTATTATTTGGTAAGAAGCTATTGGTTTTAAAAGGAGAATGTAGTTTGTAAGGAGTTTATAGAACTGAGTGTGTTAAGCAAAGGTGTATTTTTAAGAGAATAATTGAGCTCAGTTAGAATTATCTCCTACAAATTAATCTTATTATAGTTTGAAGACAACTGAGGAGATACTAAATTAGGTGAGTGTAATGTTTTGTAGAGAATATCCCTATTTCACCAACTAATTTCATTATATCTGACTTCTCTCTCATTCATTTATTATATGTCTCTATCTTTTACCCCTAGCTTCTTTTACTCCTAGGCAATAATTCCACTTCTTTGTGTACACAATATGCTATAATATTGCACTTATTACCATGCTTGTAATGTGTTTTCTGAATATTAGCCGTAAGGGTCCAATGATCAATGATCATGAGGCATGTCCCTTCTCTATCCTCTTCTTGACTTGAAGCCATACAAATAAAGTCATCTTGTTTTTATAGAAGTATGTAAGAAATAACTTTATGGATGCAAGTTCTTCTTGTAGGGCTTTACTTTTCCAAATCTACAAGTTTTCCACCTCTAAAATTAAAAATTAAAAAGCATTTTGCTGAATGGAAATGTAGAAATGATTGCTTGTTTTGCATAAAGCAGATGGTAGAAGGAAGACTGGATTAGAACTTCCTTGCAGTGACACTTATGTAGCAGCTGTCGCATGTTCATTCTTTTCACCTATCTTAAATCATGTTATGCAATGTGGAAGTGATTTACATATTTTATCTGAATATTTTCACTAAAAATACTTATACAAATACTATAACACAGCAATTTTCAACCTGTGTGCCACAAGAATTTTTTAAACATGCAATACCTATTTAGTCAGGGGCACTGACCTCTTTTCCCTTGGATTATCAAATAAAAAAATGACAACAGCCAACACAACAATAACCAGTGTCAACGAATCAAAATTATACCAATTTTTTGTCAGATTAGCAAAAATTATATTTTTGGTATGCTGCAGAATTTTAGTAATTGGTTCATGTGTGCCATGAAATGAAAAAGGTTGATAATTGCTGCTATAGTATATAATTCCCAACTGTTCACTATAAAATTTTAGGGTGAGAACATATGGGAAGAAAATACTATAGTCTCATCTATTTCATTAATGTATTTTTTGAGTATTCTATCTAGAAAGTTGTCACTTTGCTTTTATTAAAAAACACATTGGCAGATTATTTTTATGTGAACTACTATCTATCTATCTATATATATATATATATACAATCCTAATAGCAAAGAGGCTGAATGGCAGAACAACCGAACAACCAAACAACCGGTTGCTATGATGTGCACTGACCACCAGGGGGAGTGTGTGGATCGTGGCAGGCTTTGGCCATGACAGGATGGTGGAGCAGGTGAGTGGGGGCGCCAGACCAAGGCAGGGTGCCGGTCACTGTCATCAGGGCAAGTCTCTGGTAGTTACTGAAAATTCTTTGCTCCCATGCACCGCGGTCCCCCCTGCCCCGAGTGCTCCCACCTGCTGCTGGCACCAGCTCCACTCATACCCACTGCCAGCACCAGAGCCACCGCTTGCACCCCCAATCACAGCGCTGTCAGTGGGTGCGAGCAGCGGCTGCTGGCCCCGATCACCCCTCAAGGCTTCTCTACCTCCCTCTGTGCCTGAGGGATGATCAGGGCACCAGCTACCACTCACACCAGCTGACGGTGCTGGTCCTGCTCGCACCCACTGTTGGTGCTGGCTCCAATTGCATCAGCGTGTGGGAGTGGCGGCGGTGGGAGCAGGGATGCAGGCAGAGAGGGGACCTAGGGCATGGAGGATGGGCTGAGACCTGCTCCTGTGCCCACCACAGCCTCATAGCCCAGAGTTCCTTTCAAGGTACATGAATTTGTGCACTGTGATCCTAGTATTTAAATATTCAACTAGGTTACATTAATTACTCACATAAGTCATTAAGCATTTTAATGAAGATGCTGAAGTAAAATGAAATAAGTGTATTTGAGTTCATTATATATGTCTGCAATTTATATAGGAACAACATGCAGATATCATTACTTGGTTTTGATATATAACATTCATTTTTCCACATTTGTCAAGGATTGAAATTTATATTTTGTGAAAATTTATGTTGAAAGGAAACTTAGACAGAAAGAGCTGCAAAGTCACATGTGTGTTTGAGAGATGACAGATTTTTTTTTTTTAATTATGGACTGAACACCTACCTCCCTGAGCACAGGGTCAGTGATGCTATCCAGGTTCATAGATCCTTCGTACGTCAAGTAGTGAAAAACATTCAGAGCACGAACTGCTTCTGGTCCTCGCTGTTTGTAGCCAAATATAAGATCAATCCACTGATGGAGTTGGCAAGAAACAAATTCACTTTCCAAGGCCTGAAATTAGTCAAGAAAAGAAAATGAGAGTCCGTACAAACTTAGCTCTCCTTTTTTCTTACTTTGAGATATTCTATGTAAATAAGCAGGACATGGTCTTTACACTCCTATATTTTATCTATATTTGATCTTCTGCTCCTAGAAATGGCAAAATACAACCTCTAATAAAACATAAACGTAATTGAAAATTTTTTTTCTTAAATGCTTAACTTTCTCTTCACTCGATTACCTATACAATATAAATTTTAATATTAAATACATTTCTTACAAAGTCATGTTCATGTTTAAAGATAAGTTGAAATGCCTATTTTAATGCTATTTTACAATGATTTTATTCCTAATTTTGAAACATTAGTTTGAAACACAACAGTTTTATTAGAAACTTTGATATACACGTATTTTTCGGCCTGAATATGCAAACTTACCTCTACAAAATTGAACTCTAAAAAAAGGGAATGCCTTCCTTCTGCCACAATTAATTTTGTTATTATACAGTTTTGGAATCACTTGGCAATTTTAGATGTTTGCTAGCTGGTGAGAAATTGCTGAAAGTTAATGAGCTCATAAAGCAGCGGTTCTCAACCTGTGGGTCGCGACCCCTTTGGCAGTCGAACGACCCTTTCACAGGGGTCGCCTAAGATCATCCTGCATATCAGATATTTATATTACGATTCATAATAGTAGCAACATTACAGTTATGAAGTAGCAACAAAAATAATTTTATGGTTGGGTCGCAACATGAGGAAATGTATTTAAAGGGCCAGAAGGTTGAGAACCACTGTCATAAAGAGTCAGGAAAAAAGGTTTTTTCTTTTCCTAAGAAGCCATCATAAGCTTCCCAGAGGTAACTTGTCATGTAGGGATGGAGTTCAGTTTATAACAGACATGAGCAGTGATAATGTGTGGCTCACTATGCCTCTCACTTAACGCATTCATTTATCAATTTCTTATTCATTTTAAGAGCACACTGATTTCAGCAATATGAATAAAAAGCTGTAGAACTAGCTTCTTAAATTTTAACTATGCATAGCAATAAAAACCAATTCTCTACATTACAGCTGTAATTAAATATGTGGATAAATTCATTCTCTGGATGCATGTCTCTGATTTCTAAGATCTTAAACCCAATTTGAAATTCATTTATAAAAAAGCACTTGAAATTAGTCCTCTGATAGTTATATTTTATTTTTAAAAATCTATAAAATATCTGAATGATACTTTTTAACTTTTCCTATGATCACATTTAGATAATGATTTATTAACCTCAATCTCTTTCTTGATTTATTCCTTTCAAAATGTCTAGCATTTTATTTTATTAATTGAATGCTTACTGAATGTACAATACAGACGCATAGCTCCATTCCCACTGGCACCACCCAAGTCTAAGCTCTCTCACTGCTCTCCACATGTAACAGACTTCAACCTCTTTCTTTCAACCAGCCCCTCTTTCACCCTGCTTGTGGAACAGACCTCTGAAACCATCATGCTCATACTGCAATCCTCTAATTACATCTTCCAATGTTCCTCCAAACATAACACACTTAGTATAAACTTTACCTGACTCCTCAAACATTGATCCTACCCTCCCCTACTATTTTTAGGGCTTCTTTTTTAAAAAATCTTTATTGTTGAGAGTATTATAGATGTCCCCCTTTCCCCACTTTGCCTCTCTCCACCTGGTTCCCAACCCACCTTAGTTCTTCACCATCCTATTATTTGTGTCCATGGGTAATGCATGTCCTATCTAATAATAGACAAAAAGGGTAATTAACCATACCTCCCACATGCTTCCCATGGGCTAATCAACGCCATATGCAAATTAACTGCCATCCAAGATGGTGGCTAATTTGCATACTGCAGGCAGGGCGGGACAGCGTGAGCCAACATTGCCAGCCACCATCCAGGCCCCCATGCAGCAGCCCCAGAAGCCGCCTGCCTGCTGCCCATGACCCGATCAGGTCCGGGCCGCAGGCCAGGGCCCATGTGCAGCGGCAGAAGCCACCTGCTCACACCTGTGTACAGCCACAGAAGCCGCCTGCCCACTGCCCGTGACCCAGTCTGGTCCTGGGTTGCAGGCCGGCTCCTGTGTGCAACCGCAGAAGCCGCCTGCCTGCCGCATCCCACTATGATCCACTGAGTTATGAGGACAGAGAGCAAGGAGAACTTCTGCCCCTGAGTCAAAGTGGTGATTGGAGGACACAGCCTCCCCTCCTAAAGTCGCCAAAAGACAGGACCTAACCTAAGCCACATCCTCTGAGACAGCCCGGCAGGCACCACTGAACCTCTTTGCTGGCCAGGCTCCCCTCCCCCTTCCCCTGTCCCTACACAGCTCCCATAGCTCCCCACTGGTTGAGTCAGGCACAACAGGTTTGCAGCCACAGGGGCTATTTAGCAGCTAATGAAAATGAAGCAGCCACAGCAGTGGGGAAAAGACGTTCATCAAATTCTTTGTCTTTGATAAACTGAGGCAGCCAGCACAGGCCCCTGCACAGGATGAGGCTTCTGCTTCTAAAGAAACGTCCTGGGGTTAGAGGTGAGGGGGTGCTGCCTTTCCCATCTTGGAGCTCTAGGAGGAGACTGTGCTCCCCCTCCTGGTATTCTTAACACCCAGAGACCCCTCCCCAGTCTAGGCAGGAATGTTCCACACTGACCACGTCCAGAAAGCAGAGAACAAGAGGCACTTCTTGACTTCAAGCCTCTAAACCAGTGGTTCTCAACCTTGGCTGCACATTAGAATCACCTGGGAATCTTTTTAAAATCCTGATTTCTGGGTCTCATCCTCTAGAAATTCTGTTTCTTTGTTATGGGGTAGAGCCACAACATTAGTACCAAAGAAACAGAATTTCCGGAGGATGAGACCCAGAAATCAGGATTTTAAGAAGATTCCCAGGTGATTCTAATGTGCAGCCAAGGTTGAGAACCACTGCACTAGAAGGACGTGT